GGCGGTGGTGGCGGCGGCGGCGGGGGTGGTGGTGGTGGTAGTAATCGAGGAGAGGAGGTAGAGGAGGAGAAGTAAGCGTAAGAGCACGTTAAGAGTAATGGACAAATAGTAGGGGCAGGCGCGGCTAAACTACACAGTCTCTACAGCCCTCCCTGAACCCCAAACCCTAAAACCCCAAAAACGTAAAACCCGAACCGCACGGCGCTTAGCCCTAAAGCCCTTCTAGACCCCCTAGAAAGACCCTCATCGAAGTCTATGACACCCCTTCACAAAGAGACGTTGAAGTCCTGAGCTCGCCTCATCCTTGTGGCCGAGCTCCAAAAGCGGGGCGACCTGGGCTTTGGGGCTTATTGATAGTGGTGATACTGTTTAGGGTTTTGGGTGTAGGGTTGAGGGTTCGGGGTTTAGGGGTTAGGGTTTAGGGTTCGAGGTTTAGGGTTTAGGTCTGATGATCTAAATCCCGCATCGCCGAAAGGGCCCTACACTATCGGAGTTCATGTTCTATCTCCTTATGACGGATAATGCAGGATTTATATCATCAATCATAGGGCTACAGGGCTCTAGGGTTGTAGGTTTATGGGGGTTATGGGGTTTAGCGTATCAGGCCTAGGATTCTGTAAGGTTCTGAAGAGGGTCGGGTGTAGGGGTTGGAGGAAACTTCTAAACTTAGCCAGTTGCCGGAGGCTTGATTACGAAGACGAAGCCCAATATCTCAGAAATCTTAAAATCAGCACCTATGTCTATATCATGTTGCTTCTAGCCAAGATCATCTGTAGAATCAGCGAAAACACATGGCGCAGAACTAGCACCGACCGTCTGTTTGAGATAGGGCCTACACCCTAAACCCGAAACCCGAAACCCTAAACCTGAAACCCCGAACCCCTAAACCCGAGACCCGAAACCCGAGCCCCCGACATCCTAAACCCTAAACCCTTCTAGTAGGGTTTAGGGTTTAGGGTTTAGGCCCTTTTAGAACCCTTGTAGGAGCCCTTTAAAGGAACCCCCCCAAAACCCCAGGAGTGTAGAGTCTCAGGTAGGCCCCCACGCCAGGCTCTCGAGGGAGTGTGCCAACGGCAGCGCCGAAGCTTTGCCTTCCATCTTTAGTTGGGAGGTTTTGTCTGATCTGCGTTAGGCGGCTTAGGGTTTAGGGTTGGAGTTAAGGGGCTTGGGAGTTTATGGGGTTTTAGGGGTTTGGGTTAGGAGTTTAGGCGCTGATGGGGTTTAGGGTGTTTGGGCTGAGGGGTTTAGGGGTGAGTTTTCCTGGTAGAGGGCGGGTCCGGGTGTACTTTAGGGTTTAAGGCTTCGGGTTTAGGGCTTTCGGGTTTAGAGTTTAGGGTTTAGGGATTTAGGGTTTAGGGCTTTCGGGTTTAGGGTTTAGGAATTTCGGTTTTAGGGTTGGGGGTTAAGGGACGGTATCTCAGTAATGCCCACTCTTGAAGCAAGGCACAATGCCACATGAAGATTTGAGGTTCGGGCCTGGTATAGAGTTCAATGGCCGATTTCGGGTTTAGGGTGTTAGGTTTTTTGGTTCATCTTCGTAAGTCAACGTGCAGTTCTTTAAGTTAGGGCACCTTGGAGGTCCTCTTTTGTCTTGTGGGGCCCTAATTTACAGAACTACCCCAATGGGGATTCAGGATGAAATTTGCGGGGGTGGGGATGTAGGGTGTAGGGTTCAGGGTCTCCTTTAAAGTTGAAAGGCGCCCTTTCCATGAATCCGGACGAGCACGGGGTGTAGGGTTTAAGAGTTAGGGTTTAGGAATCGGGATTTGCGGATTGGGATTTCGCAAGGTGAGCCCCTCTTTTTCTGTTCGCATCCATTGCCCCAGGGCTCTGCTGATCATTCTCAGGCACAGCTGCGCTTCCACCGCAGATTCTCGAAGGGCAAAGCGTAGGGACTGAAATTTTTGAGACCTACTCACAGGTTCAAGGGGAGTTCTGCGCGAGGCGTAAGATACCGACTTGGAGATAGACTTAGTTTTAACCTCAGTCATCTTACAAGCGAGCTAACCGTACTTACTCAACACCCGGGTCCTTCAAGAAGAGTGTTTCCAGCCGCAAACCCAAAGCTATCCCCTTTAGGGGCTAGGCTGGAGGGCCTTCGGGTTTAGGGCCTACTGCCACCTCCTACTCAGGGGCTGTCTGCTCTGGGATTCGTGTTTAAGGCTTCACGATACTTACCACTGGCTGTGCGGATCTGGGAGTTCTTCTGATCCTGCGCCTTGTGCCACGACGACAGCAGCTGCGAAGATGATGACGACTATGATGAGGAAAGGAACAAACTGCAACAGCAACGGCAAAAAAAACACTAATCAACAGAACAACAGCAAGAGGAAGACTGGCATCAAGCATCTCTGATAAAGGCAGCAGCAAACCTAATAATTCGTGCCACGACCACCACTGCAATCATCTCGACAGCCTTGTATTCTTCGCCGTCAGCATCACCGTAATCATGGTCGTCATCATCATCGGCATCAGGATCTCAACCGGCAAAGCGACGATCACCTTCTAATCACCCTCATCAACATGGTCGTAACTTTCATGGTCAACGTCGCCTACGGCTCGATATTCAGAACACGCAGTATCATCTGCCTAAGCTCACTGACTGACAGCCACGCTACTTCACCGGCCAGCCCTTCAAAACCTGCAACGCTCCGCTTTGCAAGACCACCGTGTCCCGCAGAGCACATCATACACTACACTGCGACTTCGCTCTGACTCCAAAACAGTCAGCCTACGCAGGAGGCTCCCACCGAGTCTCATTGGTAGACCTGTTAAAATAATAGGTCTTCCCACTGTTGGGGTCCGTGGTCTGCTCCCAACCTGGAGGAAGGCCACCGGAGGCTCCTGGGCTTGGGCCTGGAGCTGCAGCGGCTGGACCGGGATCTGCTGGCGTGCCCTGTGGGGGTTCCCAGCTCGTCTGGCCTGTGGAGCGGTTGCAGTAGTAGGGTCGGCCGCTGCTTGGATCGGTCACCTGCTCCCAGCCCGGAGGAAGGCCGGAGGGCGCCGAGTTGGGAGGGGGCGAGGCCGCCGGCGGGGGATCCCAGCGGGTCTCATTCGTGGAACGGTTGCAGTAGTAGGGCCGACCACTGCTCGGATCTGTCACCTGCAACAACTTGAAACATTTTTTGTTTTACACTATTGCTTCTGTCATTGATAAGAATTAATACGTCCTTGAAAGCCAGCTCTCATGTTGTCACTACTCTTACTTTCACTGCCAGTTTCGGATCATTAGCACTGTGGCGTTGGGAACGCCGGCCGCCATGTGTTGCCTTTTTGTGACACATAGGTTCATGATGACAAAGGTTACAATTGGTCACTGTTGTCACTACTACTACAAGTACCAGTCATCTTGTCGCAGTGGCAGGAGCTGTAGCAGGAGCAGGGTAGCAGTGGCAGCCGTAGGGGTGGTATGACTAGTAGCAGTAGAAGTAGTAGCAGTAGTAGTAGTAGTAGTAGTAGCAGTAGGAGCGGCAGCAGCAGCAGCAGCGGTGATACTACTGTTTTGAACATATGGCAGTAGTGCAGGGTTCGAACCGGGTTTTCCTGGTCCGGGAATTTGTACGTGGAGCGGGAGAAGAAGAATCGAGCAGTCAGGACTGTTGCAAAGATCGCAAAAAGGCGATGCACGCAGGTTTGGAATTTAGGTGTCGGGCGCTTTGGGGGAGGGGGTTAGGAACAGAAGAGCGGACTTCGGGCGGTCTTGCGCTGCAAGGCTCAGTAAGTACAAGATGACTCTGCACATCGCAGCCGTGATGACGACCCGACAGAAGCAACACCTACTGTTCCTGTGTCAGTCGCTCTTGGTTATTCTAGAACACACCCGGATTGGACCCTGAAACCCTCAAGCTGAAGGTCCTGAATCCTTCACTCCGAAATCCCAAACCCAGTACATCCTCAACCTCCAGACAAAACCTGTCAATAATATGTTTTAGGGTTTAGGACTTAGGAGTGCAAAACGCCAGTGCGGTAGCAATGGATGGACTGACAAGCGTCATAATGGCCGTACAAATAGGAACAATGGCAGTCGCACACCGATCGGAATGCTACTGGCAGAAAAAGGCAAGTGACCAATATAAATCCAGCACTAGGTCGACGAAAAAGCCCTTATGGAATGGTGGACAGTTATGGAGCCGCTTCTGATTCTAAAGCTCCGCCCACCTGCTCCCAACCAGGAGGCAGTGGTCCTGTGCTATCGGCATTTCGAATGTTGTTCTTCTCAGGAAGAAGGACGAAACGACAAAATAAGAGTTGCTGGTTCTGATGTTTGAGGGCTCTTTTCTGTCTGGCAGATTCTGGTGTAAGGCTTCGACGCCTGGGGTGTAGCGTTGGGGATTCAGTGCCAAAGTGTGTTCGATGCAGGGCTCAAGGCTTGCAAACTGGGGTGTGGGCCTGACAAGGCTCCCGAAACCCTCAACCCTAAACCCCTAAACCCTAAATCCCCCCCAAAACCTTAATCTTCCCCCTGAACCCTAAACCCTAAACCCTAAACTTCCTGAACCCTAAAACCGAAACCCAAAAAAAAAGCCCTTAATCTTCCCCCTAAAAACCCTAAGCCCCTAAACCCAAGTTGCCCTTGGAGATGATGGGGTAGAGGTTGGTCCGTTGAGGGGCTCCCTCGCCTTTGAGGCCCTTTGAGTCCAGGAAGTTTAGGGTTTAGGGGTTT